GCAGCTCCGGAGTGTCCTGGATGTCTCAGAAAACCAGCCGAGATTTTTGCGGGCTCACCATGGGGACCGGCCTCGCCTCTGCTCGGGGTGTCTGGGACAGCTGCCACTTCTGGCCTTTCATTCAGGGCCAGGCTTTCAATCCAGCATTTTTATGCTTTCCCCTTGGTGGGCCCTGGGAGGAGACAATAGCCGGGCTGTAGCAGGGGATGCCGTGCCTTTCTCATGCAAATGGTTGCCTGCACTGGGAGAGCCCCTTCAAAGCAGCACCCTGAGGAGCTGGGTGAGGGGCAGGGGTGGGGGGCACCCAGCTGGCACGGCCAGAAGCTGCCTGGGCTGTCGCCGTCCCCTCCCCCGGCCGCCGCTTTCTGCACCGCTGCAGTCCGATCCAGGAGCAGTCGGGTGGGTTGTTCCCTGCCCAGCACGTCTGTGAATTGTACAGAGATTTCGTTTTAAGGTGTGCTATAAATAAAATATACTATTGTTATTATTAACACCTTCATCATCATCTGCCCTGGCAGAAGAACGACTAATCATGAAAGCCGTTACATTCCCTGGCACCTCATGTAATATTAATCGGGTCTGCAACGCTCACGTGGGGGAAGCGTGCGGCGATTGAACGCGAGCGTCCTGCTCCCACGCCAGACCTCTGCTGCAGCCGGGCGGAGGAATCCCTGCCTGGCCTGGGGAGGAAGGAAGGGGGCTCAGAGCCATGCCTCTGCACAAAGGGCCTTTGCCTCTAGTAAGCAGTTGCTCAGATAAATTTATCTGCAACAAAAGGCAACTCGGAGCTGTGAATTCAGCTCCAGAACCCCCTGCTTAACCTCGGGAAATGCTGAGCGCCTGTGCTGGTAACGCAGCAGCTCCGAAGGGTTTGAGCCCCCGTTTTGGGAAGCGCTGGAGGGCCGTGTGGCTTGTGAAGCTCAGTGAAGGGTGATTTGGACCCAGGGGATAGTGTCCTCGTGTCTGATGCTGGCTGAGAGGTGGTACGGGCTTCTTGCTGCGCGCGGGGAGAGGATGCTGAGACAGCTGCACCTTGGTCCTGCTTTGACAGCTTTGTCCTCCGGACCAAGGCTTGGCTGAACTGCTGGTGGGATTTGTCTAGCAGAGAGACATCCTCTGTAGTCTCTAAAGGCTGCTGCTCCTCTGCTGCGCGGGGAGGTAACCCGAAGCTCTTCGGGCTTTTCGATGCAGCACTCGGGAAAGCTGGGATGAATTTCTGCTTCATTCTGTGAAGGATGTTCTTGGCCGTCCCTGCAGAAAGCAGCATGTGCTGCAGCGTTGCTGGCTCTGTGGGGAGAGTTTACAGCGAGCCCTCCGAGACAAGTGCGATGCTGAAAAATTTAGGTCTTGGCAGCGTTCGTCTCTGTTTCAAGCCAGAGCTGGCTGGGGTTGCGGGAGCCCCTTGCAGAGCAGCTCATGGCTCTGCATGCGTGTTTGCTCTCCTGGTTTGTAATGTGCTATTGTTGGACGGAGGGTGCCCACGTGAGGAGGCTCATTATCTCTCAGAACAGCTAATAAGGAACAAATGAAGATGAACGCTATGTTGGTATAGGTGAAACAGCACATTTCAGTCCCCTGCCTGAGAGCAGCATCTCTGAGTCTCAGTGCCGGGCATTTCGAGGGGCTGCCAGCTGATGAGGCAGAGGAGCTGCTCATGGCTCTATCCGCCTCTGAATTTCAGACAACAACCGCATGGATTTTATTTTTAAGCTGCTTTTTGGCTTGCTCCAATTTTCTCTCTATAATCATGAACAGATGCGCATAGGTCCTGTTTCTTGCAAACCTGGGTGCCAAGTGGGAGAACGACTCAGGCAGTAAAGGGAGGCTGGAGCTGCAGACACACAAGCCTTGGGGGGGTGCGTGTGCGTGTGGGGAGTGTGTGTGTTTGGAAGTGCCAGACACCGGGTCTCTGGGGTGTCTTGCTGGAGGATCTGAAAGGTGTTGAGTGCTCAGAATCAATAAAATTGAAGACCTGGAGTTGAGGGAACTGAGGTTTTTGTGTTTTGGAGGGTTTTTTTTTTAATTATCGTACTCGATGAAAAAGTAATAGATGCAAAAACTGGATTAATAATCCCCCAAACAGAATTTCCTGATTCAGTTGAGACCTCTCCAAATAAAAGTGGAGATTACCTAAGTTTGGAGGCCAGCAGGTCTCCTGCTCTGCTGGGCAGCACTGACCATCGGTCTCCATCAGTCTCCTGCGGTGGGGCAGAGACTTCTGCTGCCGAGACCACGAGCGCTGGCTGTTACCTGCTGCCAGAGCAGCTGGTGAGTTGAACTACCAGTGAAGGTTCCAGCGGCTGCTCCTGCGCTTAGTCGGAGCAGAACGTTAATGAATACGAAGGCAATTTTGATGTCATTAAGAAAATGACGTTCCTGACCTAGTGCATCCCTTCCCTCAGCAGCTCCCACCAGCACGGGGGTCTTTCCTTCTGTGGTCCCAGGTGGTGAGAGCACCGTTCTGGGCACCGGGGTGGGGACGGTGGTGGTTCTGCGGGATAACCGAGGGGCCGTGCTCCGCTGCGCGCCGGCGCTGCAGGCTCTCCGCCGAGGAGCTGGCTGGCTGCTGGAGGGGAGCAGCAGGTTGCTATGATACAGTTTGCTGTGGCAATGTCTGTGCTGAACGGAGCCAAAACCACCTCTACAAAAGGAGCATTCCTGGGCTGGGAGGGGGCAGATTTATCTGCAGCGTTTATGTAAAGCTGCGGAGCTGCAGGGAGAGGATGTGTGTGGGAACGCTTTCCCCCAGCGTGTGCTGGCAGCCCCTGTCCGGAGGCAGATACCCTTATGTGCATGGGGGAGATGGCATGGCTCGGCTAAAGGACCCGGCAAATCCAAGCGTGCAGATCAGTGCTGGATCTCAGGTCTCATCCGGTAAACCAGGCACGAGACTGAAAACTCAGTTCAAAGGGGAGCTTGGCACTGCTGAGCTTGGTGCCGCCTTCGAAAGCGGCCTCGTCCTCAGCGGGAACTGGGTCACCTTGGTGCTGCAGGAGCGTGGGAGGTAGCGGTTCACTGGTGCCAGCTCTGCCAGTCGTGAACTGAAGCAGCCTGAGCCTGAAGCGAGGTCAGAAATCTCCACGCCTGCGACGCAGAGTCGCCCTGGCTCCCTGTGCACCAGCCTGTCCCCAGAGCTGGCCGAGGCACCGCAGGGGCCGGACCCTTTCCATGCAGGGAACGTGACTTTCCCTCTGGGAAGAGGGCTGGGCTCTGCAGAGATCAGAGTCTGGTTTTTCTGTGTTAGATCCCGACTGCTTCTCTTTGCAGGGACAGAGACCTGGGCTGCGGCTTCTCTCCCGGATGGGAGCAGGGGGTGCAGGTGCCTTTGCTCCTGTGGGCTGGCAGCAGCATGGCTGGCTGTAAAAGCCGGAGATACCTGTAGCCGATTTTGCTGTGAATCTGTGCGTGGAACCCCAGGGTGCCCGCCCCAGGCTCCACGAGAGCTGTGGGGGCCGCGTGGGCACGGCTGGGGCTCTGTTGGTTGGAGCGTGCCCTGAGCGCTGCGCTGGGGAGGTCCCAGCGGTGGCTGCTGTTGGTATCTTGCCGTGAGTTGGTGTCAAGGGGAGAGCGGGTGGCCAGTCTCTGGAGCCGGGCAGGGTTTGGGAAGACAAAATCTCAGCCCTCAGCCTGCCCCGCGTGGGCTCTGGGCAGAGGAAGGAGCAGTCGTGGCCAGGTCTGCTCTCCTGGCTGGATCTTGCAGAGGGATGTGGGGTGTTTGCAGAGCCGTGCCGGAGGGGCTGCGCCCCGCTCTGTGCTGTACAGCAGTTGTGAGCCCCCACGGAGCCAAGAGCCAGGGTCAGAGCCCCTGCGGAGAATCAGCCCATTCTCCTCTCACGCTTATCCCAGGCAGATTCCCATCCTGCCGGAAACATAAGCCACCATCATCCATAATTCATCAGGTGCTGAACTTTATCAAGGAGCCACCTGACACCCGGGCTGGGTGCTCCACCCTCCTCCCGGGGTGGGAAAGTGCCGGTCCGGGTGTCCTGAGGGGCCACGGCAGGAAGCACATCCGTCCGGTTTCCTCGGCCTCGGGGTGGGCGATCCTTCTTTTGGAGGAGGCAGATTCAACAAGGACTCTGGTGTCTCTGCTTCCCCTTTTCATAAATAAACATCTGCTTCTCATCCCTCCAGGAAGTTTAAGCCATTGCAAAGCCAAATATAAAACCGAAACAGTGTCTTTAAGTAGCAATGAGCTGATCGCTCCGTTACTGTTTACTGAGGCATCTACAATTGCAGACAGAATGCGCTTCAAATAAAAACATTATGGGACAATGACTTTAATGCCTGAAATTTGCATCGAAGGTGTGTGTGCGCGCACGTGTGTGTGCGGCAGAAGCTGCGCAGGATTCAGGCTGGGCTCTCTGCCTGCTCGCTGAGAAATCCTGCAGAATACAGAACCATCCCCTCCAATTTATAGCTTGCTCACTAAATCCTGCCACATCTTTTACGAACCAAAAAGAACCCGTTTGCCTTTTTCCAGCAGAAATCCAGAGCAAAAGGCAATGCTTTTTTTTAACTTGTCTTAAATTCTCACAATCTATGTGAGCAAGCTCTCCTGTATAAAGATAGCAAGAGAAGGATACGAAATAGCAGCAGCATTCCCCGTCTTCTCTCAGGCACACCTTTCCACCGTTGGCGATAGAGCAACTGCACGACAAGTAGTAGGATACGTATGCGAGTGGTGGAGAGGGATGTGCTGCTTTACGGAACCACAGCCCTTCCAAGCTCCCTTTTCTGCAGCGAGCCAGCACGCCCCGGCAGCACAGCTCCACTGCCTCTTACTCGCCAGATGCTTCCTAGGAGGGAGAGGGAAGCAAAACTTGCATTTATTTTCCACTCTGCAAAGGGATAAATGTAAGAGCACAAGGGCAAAACCTCTGACTTCAACACCTAAACAAAGGGACCAAATCCTCTGCGAACCTTAACCTAATGGTGTCTGGTCAGAAATTTGGGTCAACAGCCTTTACCTCTGACAGAGCAGTTTGCATCCTGTGGAGATGTCTCCAGATCCTACTGGAATTAAAGATCTCTCTGCCTGGCAGAGGGCTGGGGGTCCTGGCCTGCCCGTTCGGGTAACAGGCAGGTGGTGGGATGAGACCTTCTGCTCCTTTTTTCTCTTCCTCCCGCTCCTCTCTGCAGGCTCAGCGTATTACGATAACGTTCGTCCCTTGGCCTACCCGGACTCGGACGCTGTGCTCATCTGCTTTGACATCAGCCGCCCGGAGACCCTGGACAGTGTGCTCAAGAAGGTGAGTGCCCGGCGTGCCTTCTGGCCGGCGAGGTGGGTCCTCTGCAGCAGCACGTGGAGCCACCCTGGGGTCCCTGCTCCCCGAGACTGTCATCAGGGCTAAAAACTCTGGCTCCGTGGCCAAGCCTTGGCTGGAGTTTTTGTGCTCAGATGAGGACGGTTGGCTGCTGCTGATCCCTACGTGTTTTGTGCAGAAAGCAAGATATTTCCATTTGAAAGGAGCCCAGTGAATGGTGTAGCTCATGGTAGCTTGCAGCATGTGTGTGTGGGGGTGTCGGTGTGTATGCACACATACAAATGTGGGGACAGAGAGAAATGTAGGGCATCTGTTCTGTTTTTCATGAAGGCCTTGGAAAGCGTTGTGCATCTCTTGTTAGCATAACCACCAGTGAGTGTGCTACGGATTACTTGCCGCAGTTGAGAAATGGCCCCTGGTGCCTGTTTCCATGAAAGCAGAGAGCTCAGCTTTTTGGCCGTCCCCTCAGTTCAGCATCTGCACAGTCAGACAGACAGCAACCAGTTCCCTATAGCCTGAACAACAAGAATAATGAGCTGTGGCACTGAATTTCAAGTCCGTGAATGAATAAAATGAAATGGCACCATGCCACTGGACTGGACGCGGGGCCCTGAACACCGTCTGCCCTGGCAGAGCTGACTGTCTCCATGCTCTGCATTAACAGCCCAGAGTTTTCTACCTGCAGGTTAGCGCCTTTCAGCAAAGCTAGACGTTTCCAGCTGGCAGGTCTGACAGGTCCCGGAGAGCCCCACAGGGCCGGGGATCCGCTGCGGAGCACCGCAGGCTGGCTTCGCAGCACGTCCCTGCCTGCCACGCTTGGGAGGAGTAGGTGGCAGGGAGAGGTTCCCATGCGAGGCTTTCCTCTGAGATGGCATGAAGTCCAGCAGCTCAGGACGCTGCTTAGGGAAGAGGGTAAATGGCATCCTGGCCGCTTGCATCCCTCGGTCCTGCCCGTTCCCGGCTTCCCTCCGTGAGATGCAGGGAGCTCTCACCGCTGCGCAGCAAAGCTGCAGAGAGCTCGCTGGCGGCTGCATCCTGTCCCAGAAGCGAGTCTTGGCTGACATCTCGTTTGTGAAGCTCTCTGAGACACCGAGGCGTGAAAAGCACTACAGAATGGTGATTCCTGGTGCTGTTTGCCCCAGCGAGCCCCAGGCTGCCAGGGCTGGACTGGCCACTGTCTGAACAAGTCGCATTGTACCGACTGCCCTCTTGGCCTCTCCGCATTTTGCCCAACGTTGTGCTGAAGCAAGTGCCTCTTACTCAGCTTCTGGGAGGGCTGAGAAGCGGGTCTGTGTCTCAGAAGTGTCCTGGTGAGGGGACAAAGACCCTTCAGATAACTCGGTCAATGGCTCAGTGTTCGTTTCCAAAGCGGGTCCCGGGTACCAAGTGTGCTGGGTGGAGGGAGGCGTGTTTCGTGGGGACTGAAAGAATTCACTGCTCAGCTTGGGAGTCAGCAGAATAATAATGCAAACAAATCACTTAGACCTTAATGAGATGCAAACCCATCGATAATTAGCTGGGGTTGGGATTTATTTATGTGTCTCTGCACACTCTTCATGTGAGTCCACACTGCTCAGTGCAAGGTCTTCCCTGTGCAGCCTCACAGATGCTTTGAGTACTGTTAGGCAACGTCTTTTTGATACGGTGACTTAAAATAAACCCTAAATCACAGGGGATTTCTTAAGTGCCTCTGAGTAGATGCCTTGTTTCCTTTGGTGCAGGCTTGCAGTCTATGGAGGTGAAGAAAATTCCTAAGACACCATGAAGTTGAAATGGGTTTTAGCTTTTGATATCAGGCGAATAAGGAAAATAACCTATTCAAGCCTCAGGCAAAAATGCTAATTCAGCAGAGGAAATCTTCCTTATTGCTGCCCTTCTGATGCCTGAGCTGCCTGTACAGCATGTACGGTTGAAGGGAAGGAGCCATCTGAGGGAATGCAAACAAGCAGCTCTTCATTTCATACAAAGCAGGTTTTCACGGGGCGGTGCCTTCATTCTGTCGGGTCTCGATTGCGCAGCAAACCTTAGGCTCCCTAAGGTGTCACTCCTGTGAGCAGAGGGTCGCACCTCTCGCCGTAGACCGGGGATCCCTGAGTCATTGCAGCCATGACCTCTGCCTGCTAAGAACAGACCCTACAGCTCAATCCCTTCGAGGGTTTTCATCCTTCAGGTAAATTAGGGTGCTTGAGTTCCAGCTCCAGAAGAACTGCACCATCCTCCTATGGCGGGTGCGTCAGCCCTTGACGTTGTGTGGCTGTGGCCCCAGAAATCTCCCAGAAGCTGTGCAGCCTGGTGTGCTGCCCGGGTGCTGGGGATGCGTGTGAGTCCTTGGTGGACAAACGTCCCTGGCAGCAGGGAAGGGGGGTTCATGGTGAAGATACTTGGCCCCATCTCCTGGTGGAAAATAAGGCCTTTCTGTATTTTGCAGTTGCTTTGGCCTGATACTGGTTGAATGAAACTTGGGTGCTTCTTGGCACTTCCTTTCCCCCCCAGGTTATGGACACTGGGTTGTGGGGTGGTTTTCTTTCCTCTTCGAATCGCCTAGGGTATATGCTAATTCCAAGTGACATCTTTTGCCAGGGTTAATCTCACCTTATCATCTGCCTCCTGCTTCAGAAACACTAGATAAGTAACCAGGGTGTTGACATGCTGATGGGGCTGTACAGGTCTCCCCTGGGGGAGGTCACAGGCGATGGTTTTATTTACTGCTGTGGACACTTAGCTGCACATTGGGCATTCATTTTCGGAGCTCTGAAAGGGACCATTAGTGCGAAGAAAGTGGATGTTTGCCCTGGCCTTCTCCTCCCATTGCTTCAATTCTTTATTTCCCCGGCTGTAGCTACGCTCTGAAGGTCTTAATGTCTTTAACATGTGGCTCCCAATAATAAATAAATAATGAGTGTGCTGTGCAAAGAGCTCCCCGTGGTTCAAAAGGCCCAGCGAGGTTGACCTTTGGAGTCCCAGATGTGTGCACCAGACTGTGTGGTCGTTATTTCTCCACGGTCATACCCAGGAGCGGTCTCCCGTGGCCGAGTGCAGGGTACCGCAGCTTGGGTTTAGCAGGTTTGCAGGGTGTTTCTGGAACAAGCGAGCATAATGTTACTGGAGAGGTGCTCCGAGCATTCCCATCCTTGCCTGGGGCAGTCATTAAGGTGCCCTGATGAGCTAATCGGTCTCTGAACAGCTGTGACCCCCGTTGGGAAATGCCATCCACACCAGAGTGTACGGTCTTGGCCTCCGAAGTCTGCTTTCCAAACCCGATCCAATTCGAGCCTCGTGTTACAGTCAGAACACCGAGAGCCGGCTGTCCCCGTGTTTCCCGTCTTCAGCACGGTCTCCAGAGCCGCTCTCGGCCCGCGTCCTCACCGAGAGCCCCTGCTGACGTGGTGGCCACCATCACCCACGACCCTTCCCCTCTTCCTGAAATCTGGGCACGCAGGCTGCGGTGGGGCCAAAACCGGCCTCGGTGCTGGCACTGGGCACCGTGGGTCCCGGGCAAGAGACCTCAAAGCGGTGTTGTGGTGGCTGCCAGCAGCAGTCCTGGTTCCCTGACTGCTCCAGTCCCGAGTCCTGCGCGGAGACGAGCCAGGCCAGGGCAGCTTGGCATCGCGTGCTGATGGCCAGGAGGTGCTGGGACCCCGGGCTGCCGCAGCCGTCGTTCCTCGGTGGGAGAAGGACGTGCCGCTTGCTGGTGGGAGCAGGAGAAGCTATGGACCAGACTCGTGGGTTCTGCCGTGGCGGTGGGGCCTGGAGACGTTTGTCTGGATGGTGCTGGACGGTAGGAACGGGTGTCGTGACTCGCCTGGCCTGTCCTTCCCCCCAGTGCTGGGGGTTCTTGGACGGGGCTCTTGGCCTGGTTGGAAAGGGGCTGGGAGCGGTGAGCTGAGATCCCGCGATTGCCTTTGTTGTTCCAACCTTGACCCTTTTCCAGGCTGCCTGCTGCCAAAATTAACTTGATGCGGAGGTGCCGCTGAGCCCCTTGATGTGTCTCGTCCACCAGCAGCCCCCGAGCACCTTCTCCCTCTTGTCTCCTCTGCAGTGGCAAGGGGAAACTCAGGAGTTCTGCCCCAACGCGAAGATTGTGCTGGTCGGCTGCAAGCTGGACATGCGGACGGACTTAAACACGCTCCGGGAGCTTTCCAAGCAGCGCCTGATCCCCGTGACGCACGAGCAGGTGTGTGTTTTAGCAGCCGTCCCCGCAGGGCTCGGCGAGGTGAGGCAGGGACTTTTCTGCAGGACTACTAGTACAAGGAAGCTCAGCAGCAAATGACCCACTGTGGCCAGGTCTCGGTCTGAAGCTGGTTTGATCTTGGCTCATGGATTCTGTGCTGCTTATGCTTACGGCACTCTTTTCCCCAGCTCTGGCAGACCTTGACTTATTCCTGATGCTCCGGTGAACAGCCTCCTGGTTAGGAGCTGAAAAGTCTTTCCTCAAAGGTGGTGGAGATGCCTGATTTGACAGGTTGGACTGGCTAAAGGGGAGTGTCGTGCTTCTGCATCTCCTAGTTCAGTGCAACTCTTTCTGCTATGACTGCCTCTCCTGCTCGGGTTCTGTGTTGGGGCAACGCTGCCCGGGGTGGGGTGGGGAGGGCAAACCACAGCCGGGGCGGGGGGCTGAGGGTCTGCTGCCCGGCTGCTGTGGCCACCTGTGGACCCAGCAGTGTCTCCAGGCTGGACCGGACACCCAGTCTCTGTGGTGCAGCGTGGGGGCGGCTGCGCTCTGGGCCTGGCTCTGTGTTGTGCCGGTTCAGCGCCCGGTAGCACTGTCTGCTCGGGAGGCCACCCTCACCTCTGGTGCTCTCACAGACGTTTGCATTTATTTACAGAGGTGACGGGTAAATGTTTTAAGAGAGCCGCTCCCGGCTGTGCCACGGTGTCTGCTGCGGGCTGCCAGCACCGACAGGGCTGATGGTGACGTGGAGGGACGCTCGCGCGCCGGTGTCCTAACCTTCTTCCCTCTTCCTCCCGCTCTCTCTGGACCGCAGGGCAGCGCGCTGGCGCGGCAGATTGGGGCAGTGGCCTATGCAGAGTGCTCCTCCAAGGTCTCGGAGAACAGCGTACGGGATGTGTTTCACGTGACCACACTTGCCTCGGTCAACAGGGTGCACAAGAACTTGAAGCGCAGCAACTCCAAACGGGGACTGAAGCGGGCATCACAGATGTCTGGCAGGACGGACTTACTGAACGACACAGAGATCAGGAAAGACCGAGCCAAGAGCTGCTCCATCATGTGAAAAACAGGCTGTAAATAACGTGTGTGTGTTGTCCATTTTGTACAGTAACTGGCTGAGACAAGGGCATGGTGCTGGCTGCAGGAGCCAGCCCGCCCTTCCAAAGCCTTTCTCTCAGTCTCTAGGGCTGAGCAAAGGTCCCAGCTGCAAACCGGGGTGCACGAGTCACCCCCCACTGTGGAGACTTCTGGGTTGGGTGCTGCTGTGCGGATTGCTTGGGGTGAAGGAACCACTTGGCAGAGGAGTATTCAGGTGCTGGAAGGTCAGTGACTGGGTGAAACAAAGCAAAAGGGAGCGATGCCGTGCGTGTGCCGCCCTCCTGTACCCGCGGCCCAGCCTCTGCGCCTGCGTGCAGCTGTACAGCACACGCAGCGCGGGGCCGTGGGCTGTGTGGGACCTGGGCTGGAGGGTGGGAGGTGGGTGGAATTGCTAGCGGCAGAGTGCGATCAGGAGAAGGTAATCTTCCAATCTTTCTTTAGAAGAGAAATTGTGTTTGAGGTAGTGCTGCCTTCAGCTAGGCTGGGCAGCAGGTCGCCATGGAAGGTGCAGGTCTGGGCCAGAGCTGGGAGGGAAGGCACCTGGGAAGGAACCTTAACCTGTCGAGACACCACGGTAGTCTACCTCCTGCGAAGAAAATAGATAGGCGGCTCTTTACACGATATTTTAGATACTTGAACTCCATTGGAAATGCAGCAGAGTGGATCTGGCTCCAAGGGAGAGGTCTATCCCAGTAGACACATCCTGAGAATTGTGGTTCCCTTCAGCAAGCAAATGCCACTCGGGAGCTTGTGTCCCGGCTGCTGACAGCCTGGTTACTCATCGGGCTGCTCCCTGCTGCGCTTCCGAGGAACATAGCTCCTGAAAAAGCAGACTGCAATAACTATCCATATCCTGCTCTCCACCCATTTCCAGCTGCAGATTGTATTGCATGGTGCTGTGTTTGGTGCAGATAACCAAAAAGATGATACGCGTATCCGCACCGTCTCCACTGTGGCGGTGGGAAGGAAGGTGCTCCCTGCCCCTCTTGCCTTGCTGTACAGCCTCCTCCCAACACCTCTCATTGCTTCTGCTGCTGCCCTCTCTGAATGCCTTTGACTACAGTGTTAGCCTTGACTTCATGTCACATAGACACTTTAAGGAAAAAAGAATCTGCTCCATTGCCAGATCCAGCTGTGTCAGTGGGCTACGGAAAACAAATAAACATGGTTGGAAAATGCATAGTGCTTGACTCTTCGTTTTTAATAGTCGGATCAGGCGTCCTCTCAAAATGTCTTACTGCCTAACTTCTATTTGTGTCCTAACGTGTCTCTCTCAAAATACACTCACACATACACTTGAGTGAAAAATGCAGAGGACTGAGCTGCAAGTATTCATTTTGGAGCTGAAACACCTGCCTTGAATAACCCCTCGCTCCATCCTGAATCCTTGAACGCTGTGGAGCACTTGCAGGTTGTCTGTGCCCGATCCACCAGTCTGAGCTGCCACGAGCTGCTCCTGTCCTAACTGTGTCAGTAGCTGCAAGTGAAGACAGCTTTTGACTTAATATTTTGGGTCTACTCTCCCATCTTCAGCTGCGTCGGGAAGGCTATTTGGGGAACTGGAGCAGCTGAGTTACCAGCACAGGAAAAGCTCAAGCAACGACTGCATGCCGTTGTGCTGGGTGCGGGTTGCAAGAACATGAAAACGCAGTCTGGGAGGGAAGAAACTGGGCGAGGCGCCGTGCCAAGAACAGCCTTCAGCACCACGAAACCCTTCTCTTACTCTGCAGGCTCCCCAGAACCTTTGCAAACGTTAGTGAACAAAGCCGTGTCCCTGCTGGTCCAGTAGCAATCAGTGGCTCACAAGCGTCGCTACCAAGTCCTCTTAACCTCTTGTGTTTGTTCTCGTCATCCTCGTGTAATCTAATCTCTGTGTCTTCCTTCTCTCCACATAAGCACAACAGTATTTGAGAAGCACATCTCCCTTTTTCTATCTTCTAGCACCTTTTAGGCGTTTGTATTTAATCTGGCAGTCTAGACAAATGCAGTTTCTGGTCCACCGAGTAGTTTAAACTCCCAGTGGCTCTAGAGCAACTTGTTAGCTCACACTATGAGCAAATCTCCGGTAGTGGGTAGCAGTTGTCAAACCTGAGCTGTGCCGAGTGTAGGTCTCTGAAGGAATGGGCTGTTGCTACAGGTGGCAGCCGTAAGTCACACCGGGACGTCAGCTGGGTGCCTGTTCCCCTCCAACTCCTGCAGAGAGAGGTCTGGAGACGTGCAAGAAAACCAGCAAAGCCTGCAGAGGCTCTGCGGGTGTCAGGCTGTTTAACCAGAGCGGAGATAAGCAGGAGGGGCGATGGCTGAGGTGTGAGACAGACCAAGCAGCCAAGTTTGGCAGGAGAGAGAGAGAGAGAGAGAGAGAGAAAAAAACCCCATTTGCCTACACAGTGAACTGGGAAGCGGCAGGACCCAAGTGCCAGGCACCGGCTTGCTCGTCCTCCCTGGACAGGGGCTGCAGCCCTCACTGCGGGAGGAGATGGTGCTGCTGATGGTGCTGTGCTGCCGTTTGTGCAGAGCTGGTCCTCAGCCGGAGACAGGCTTGAGCTGCCCGGCAGCTCCCCACAATGCTGTCCTGTTTTCTTGGGTCATTGGTGTGGAAAGATAACTCAGCCCCCAGTGACCCTGGCTGTTAGCTCTGCTGCGACCACAGCGGTGCTTCCCTTGCTGCTCCGCGTGATTTTCTTTTGTACGGTGAACTTCCCAGGCTCTTGTTACTCAAATGGCCCTCGGGGATGGATTGTGGCAGCGTAAAAACACACGTCCCAGCAGCAGCTCTGGAAGAACCAGTCAGAATTAATGGCAACCAAAACCTCTCAAGAGACTAAAGCAGGTGAAACGGCTTCCAAGACCATTTATCATGAAGTATCTGAGCTGGATCCGTGGGCAGGGTGAAGTAGAGATGTTAAAGCCCGTGGAGGTAAGCTCTTTTCTTGCAGGCATTTGAGCATTTCTGCTGCTGCTCATGGCCCAGGTACAGAACCCAGGGCAGCCGAAGGTATTTTAGGGTGCTGACCTCTAAGGAAGAGGTTTCCAGGAGGATGGCGCATTGCAGTCCTGCTGCGTCAGTGCGTCCTCCTGCCTCTGCACGGTACTCAGCACCTCTCTAAACACTTGGGGCATTTGCCATGTGCTGCTGGGAGCACCTTAATGTGGGACCAGGACTTTCCTCCTGCCTGCCTTAGGGGGAAAAACCTGACACGCTCCCCGCTGAGAGACGTGGAGGGGCGGGAGGCTGCAACCAGCAAACCCAAAGAAGGCAACTACAGCCCGAGGATTCCCAGCCATACGTGCACTGGAAGCCGCGAGAGAAGAGAAAGGTGCGCCCTGCTTGGTGAGGGGAGCTGCCAAAAGGCACCACGAACGCTCTGGGCTCAGGTTTTCCCTCTAGAAAAAGCTAGCTGCGGCTCAGGCTGCAAGGAGAAAGCTACACCCGAAGGTGCGGGTGAGTTTGGGGTGCCAGCGAGCCTGTCCAGCACACGCACGGCTGCCGTGCAGACCTGCATGCCCCCAGCCATCCCCGCCAGCGGAAAGCCACGAGCACCGGAGCGCTGCGGAAACGAAAACCCCCACGGCCATGTTCAATGGCCGTAGCCCGTGCTGGGGCTGGGGGTCAAGGTTAACAGGCCCGGGACTAAATGTGAACTGACATTCATGAAGGGTTCTCCCAGCATACTGGAAACGCGCAGAGATGTGGCTGGGTCACTGCTGACAAGCAAAGCTTCACAGATCAAAAGTGCAAGGCAGGAAAGAGCCTGACCTCTGTGAACCAGGGCTGGGGCTGGGAGGGCAGAGGGCAGTCGGAGCCGGCAATAATCACAGCTTGCACGCACCAGCCTGTCTTTTCACAGCCACCGAGAAATGCTGCGAGCGAAGGATGCTGGTGGTCCCTCCGACCTCGTGGCGAGTAGTCATTACTCTGCTGCTGCCTCTGCAGTGTCTCTGGTGTCCTCTGAGTGGGAGGGAGCAGGGAGACAGACGTGGAGCTGTAGAGAGGGCGATCGGGCAAGAGGACGTTTATCTGGGGGTCTGAGCCCCTTCACTCCCGCAGTGCTGCTGTTATCCGCAGGCACCGTGGTTTTAGGTTGTATGGGCGAGTGCCCGAATATGTTAAACTGGACGGAAAGGATTAATCTGGCCGGTTGTCCGTACGGCTCTCATCCCTGTGCTTTGCCTTGGCTTGCAGCGGGGAGGAGGGAGCAGCAGCCACCACGGCACTGCTGTGACGCAGCCCGAGCAGGAACAAGCGCAGGCTCACTTCCACGCGTTGGAAGCGATGGTGGGGCTCTGGCCGGAACGCCGTCCCCTGTGAGCTGGGAGACAGACAAAGGGACAGCGTGACGCTTCCCAGGATCTGTCCTGAGGGGCCACAGCTGAGAGAGCGGGGCCATGCGGAGCACCTTCCCCTCCCCGAAGGCTTCACCCACGTGCATCGCCGCAGCGTTTGCGCAGCACGCCAGAATAAACCTCCCAAAGCACGCCTTGCGGGGGGACGTGGGGGCCTCAGCGTGGCCTTTTCAATTCACGGGAGCTGTTTCTACCACGTTGAACGCCGTGCTGGTGCAGGCAGGCTGGCTTACGGTGCTGTCAAGACTAGAGAAAACAGAACCAATGCGTTGATCGAGACTTGCAGCCTTCCCTCGGCTTTCCACAAGACACATTCAGGTGACATCTCCCAGGCGTTTTCAGTGCTCAGCACCGCAGGTGAAGCTGCAGTGCCAGAAAAGCAGCTGGTGTTTGGGGTTACACAAAAGTGACAGCATCTTTCTGGAAAGCTTCTGGTTCTGGTTTTGTGAATCTGTTTATTTTCTGTACTGAAGGGAAATGT